ATTGTGCTTTTTTTATACCCGCCAGCAAAAGAGCTCAAGAACTTTACCGAATCTGAGCAAAAGTACACAAAAGGGAAATGTTTACAAATTATGAGAACGTTAACTGAGAATTCTGACAGTACAACGGAACCACAAATTGCGGATACACCTTTGTTACTTTCAGACAACTTTGAGCTGTTTTCAGGTCTTCTTAAACAACCTACCTTTATGAGCAGAACTGATAAAGCTACTGCAGAGCTGCGGCGATATGAAAATATTGAGGTATATTTTCATACGGACTTCGATATAATTAATTGGTGGGAGGTACACAAATGCGAAATGCCGCAGCTGCATAAACTCAGTCGTAGAGTAATAGCCACTCCTTCAACTAGCGCACCGTCAGAAAGAGTTTTTTCTTTTGCTGGAAATGTTATTTCTGACAAAAGGTGCCACCTTTTGTCAAATGATGATGCATTATAATATGCAGTTAGGAAACCAATAAAATTAACAAAAATTGTCTTTACAAATGTTTTTTCATTGATACTTTCATTACAGCAGTTATGCCATGCACTTGTTTTTCAAATCAAGCACTTGTTATTTGAATCGAGCACTTAATAGTGTGAATTACTCACTCAACCGACAATATTTTTTCAGTGCTATCGCACGTTATGTTTGGAAATAAATGAGTGCGGGTGTGTGCAGATGTGAAAAGAAAGCGAGTGACTTAAAATGTAATTTGAGTGTATCCATGCAGCTCTCTGCTTCATACCTTTCACGAACAATTTCATGAAAATTTTACTTTAACAGATTACTGCATTTGAAAAAATTTATATATTTACAGCATACATAGATAGAGAAGATACATATATAAAAAATCTAAACGATCAGAGTGGAAGTTATACCTTATATATGATTTTCCTTGCGGTGTGATCGGTATGTAAACCGGTAACACAATTTAATGGGGTTAGCTTCTTACATAAAGGAGATATATCGCAAAAACTGGTATCTGAACAATCAGTGGTATAAGAGATAAAGCTTATACAGCATAAATTTTGACCATTTTCTCACTAGACCTTGTATTATCATTTATAAAATAGCTTACGAAATGTATCGGTTTTAGCTGTCCAAATAAAGGAGTTTTACAATAAAACCCCAAATCTGAACAATCAGTTGTATGAAGGCAATAAATGGGCTATAGTGATCCGATCTTTGTTAATTTTACTGTAAACTTTCTGTTGACAATGAGTGCGAAGTTTCATGATTCTAGCTGCATATATGGAGAAGTTATAACAAAAATTCTCATATCTGAACAATAATTTGTGTGGGGGCTATAGGTTATAGGAACCCGATCTTCGCCATATGCACTGCAAGTATTTTTTTGATAATGGGTGGAAATATCATGTTCCCAGCTGCACAGATGGAGGAGTTATAACAAAAATTCTCATAACTGAACAATCAGTTGCATGGGAGATATATGTTTTAGTGACAAGATCTTTGTTATTCTCACTGTAAGTATTCTGTTAATAATGAGTGAAAACGGTGCGAATTTTCATGTTCCTATC